GAAATCAAATTGTATGAAAAAAAAATAAGATTTAAATCGTAGCACATATTAAATTAATTAGATAGATATCATAAAATTTAAATTAATATATATTTTCACATTAATTGTTATTATATAATTATTACATTCAAAATTATTTATTACAAATTTTTTATTTAATTAATAATTAAATTATATTTTCATATTTATAAAGTATTCATATATATATATATGATCATATTAAATTTAAGTATTATTTTCAGAAAAAAAATTATGAATTTACACCTGATAATTTTCTATTATATGTATATACATACATATATAACAATGATAATTTTCTATTTTACTTATATATGTATATTTGATGAATGTATTGGTTCTTTTTTTTTTTTTTCTCCGTGGAACATAACCATAAGATGCCAAAAAAAAAAAAACACAAAGCGTGCATGAAATATATAAAATAAATAGAAGGTTCATGCACTTGTCCACTTAATAAATAGATTTGATATAATTCCTTTTTTTTTTCTCAACACTATTGGTATTTTATATAAAAAATAATAAATTATTAAGTTAATTTCTAAATTTTAAAAATTATTATAAAATTTTTTTTAAAAAATTATTTTTTGAAATAAATAAAAATATGGGAATCAAATTGTAAATAAAAATAATAATTAAATAATAATAAATATTAAATTTTATAAACTAATTTAATAAATTATCATATGAAAAGGCAATATATAAAAGATTCAATAGACATCCACGTGAGGTATTACCCATTCTAGTTTCCTTTTCCTTTATCCATCTACCAAAAGTCAAACATATCTAGGAATGGAATTGTGGGTTATATCACCACCATTCCCATATCTATGTACATATATATATATATATATATATATATATATATATCTACATATCTCCTCTACGATGGCACCAAATATCTTATAATTGAAAAGAAGTCTTCTTTTTCTTTATATATATATATATATTTAGGAAACTAAATAAAATGATTGATTGATAGAAATTAGGAAACATAAAATACCCTCAAATTAGAAATTGAGAAAGCCTCCTTATGATTTTTTTATAACAAGGAATAGGTTCATGCATCTATAGCCCCAAGTTGAGTTAGAAGTAATTATTGGATGTAATTGGGGGTCCCCCTCCTTAATTCTCAACACTCAACATTCTCCACTCCCTTAAATCGTAAAATCTAAATTGTATTGATTTTGTTGGACCGATACTTTGATATCAAAGGTTTTCGGGATAATCTCCTAATTTATATCGGGTGGAGACGATGGAGTCAGTCCATAAATTTTTCTTTCTTTCACTGTATTCCCTTTAAAAAATTATTTATAAAAATAAGAATTTGTTTAATTACATAATTTCTTATTCATATAGATAGATATAGGATTTATGCAACAATTTATTTATATTTTATACCGCAGTTATTCCTATCTGATATGAAAGAATCTCATGATCCTGAATCAATCTTACTTGAAATAATAAATTCTAAGTTTGTTTATAAAAAATAAATCTAATTATATTAGTGTTTATAATTATTATTTTTTTCGTATAATACTAATCAATAAAATTTTATTGATAAGTATCATAAGATCTCGTGCATTAGAACCTAAAATTATAAACTCAAATCTACATAACACATACGTATCAATTATAATACAAATGTCTAACAATAATATATAAAATACACAATATATTGGAGTTAAATATCGATTATCTAAGCAAAAAATATTCGGTCATATAAATTTATATTTCCTTATTTTCACAACAATTTAAAATTTATTATTGTAATTTTACGATATAGTTTAATACAATTTTGCATAATTTACTAAGTTGAATTATGCATGGGAGTTAAATAATGCTTTAACAATTATTCTATTTCAGTCGTTAATAATTTTTGACAATAAAATATGATATATATTAATTTTACGTTAAATAAAAATTAAAATTTAATTTGACTCGTAAATTAAAATTTAAACAACTGTTAAACTAAGAATCACTGGTTTATTAATAATGATCTTTAATTAGTTAATTAAAATTAGTAAATATTATGAATTAAGTATTAATTAAAAGTTGAGTGGAAGTCATGATCGAGGGCTTAAAAAGAAATTAAGAAGTAATCATGATTAATTAAAAATTAGTAATTAAGCAAATCCAAGAGAAAAAAAGAAGTGACCATGTCCATGTGCCATGAATCCAAACTGTAATTAGTGTAGGATTAGTCTAGCTAATTAAGTATTTAATTATTAAAAATTACATAGTGATTTGTTTTTCTGATTCGGTGGGGACCACTCTTTAAAAAATAAAACAATCCAATCACCCTCCTCTCACGTGACCAATTTTTTTTTTTTAATTTTAAAATATTTTCGGACCAAGTTTATATATCGAATTAAATACTTAATTTACTATTATACGATTTAAATTTTTTAAAATTAATAATAAAAGTGGTTAATTTTAATAATTTTGAAGATTTAAATCATATTAAATAAAAAATATATATAAGAATTTATTTAAACAATATAAAATAGTATATATTATGTCCCAATAATGTTGTTTTAATTTTGGGTGAATGGATTTTTTATAGGATTTTTTTTTTAAAAAAAGTTATAAAGTAATTATTTTAGGTACAAAGGTGTTTTTAAACTAATTTTTATATAAATTAGAAAAATATAAAATTTTATTTAAACAAAATAAAATTTACATGAAGTAATTATTTTAAGTGTATTTATATATCGAAACTTAACGTTTATAGTTGAATTAAAAAATAAATTATTTATGAAAAAAATTAAAAAATTTAATACTAAAATTTATAATTTGAATTACTTTAATTTTTAATTTAAAAATTATTATAATCCAGCATTATTATTATTTTTTAAATAATGAAAAATTAAATTCCGACTGAGTATTATGATTTATAAAGTGAAGCAGCCTCAATGGTTCATAAGGGTCGGTTATGGTAGGCCACGGTCAACCAAATAGAAGGAAATTTTCTTTCATAAGTTGCAAGAATGGACTTTATATTAACTTCCAATTGTCACGTGTATCTAACTGTCATATGTATCCATATATTTTGATTCACTAACATATGCATACATACATACATACATACATATATATATATATATATACAGCTTTTCTTAATTACCAAGTTATGTTTTATATAATAAAATATATATGAATAAAAAATTCATATTACTTTATCATAATCATCTAGTCAATTCATATATAATGAAAATTGTTTGGTTTTACAAATTAAATTATTTTTCTAAACTAAGTAAATTATAATTATAAATT